CGATTGATTTTTGCTGGTAAACAACTTGAAGACGGTCGTACACTTAGCGACTATAATATTCAAAAAGAAAGTACACTTCACCTTGTACTTCGACTTCGAGGCGGTAATGATCAATAAAGGATGTACGGAGCACTCATGCATTAAATTAAATTGACTCTCTTATTAGTTGTTTTTCAAACTATTTCAGATATTTCGATTATGTATTATTTTTTGTCATTTTTTTACGTTGTTTGTTTCCTGTTTTAAACATGTAAACAAAATAAATATTATGAAGTTTAATATTTTAGTCGTTTCTTGACTTTTTAATTGATAAGAAAAACGTTTTTCGTTTTAAACTAATGAGTGAAATATTGAAGATGTTAAATCTTCTAAGTATTCGATAGAAGACAAAATTATTCTAAAAATTTTATAGGAAGAGACATTAATAAATGAGCACCGCTTACTCTTTTCCTGATGAAAAATTAATATATCTCACCTAACTCTGAGATTGATTCAAAGGAAAAACTAAAAATTCAAAATAGTTTCCGTGCTCGTTTTGAAATCTAGAATTTTACACTATATCGTGAGTGTTTGAAAGTTTTCTGACAGATATTAATTTAATTAATCTATTATGTTTTCTGTCTATCAAAAACGAATCAATATTTAAACAGCAATATATGGATTGCTTAGCTTTATTTTATTATATGAAACATTACATAAGAAAAACTTAATAATATTTTACTGTTCAATAACAATATGATGTGAAGCGAATATAATTATACTCCATTGTAACGATAATGATTGACCTGTCGACGCTGTTGTTGCATAACTGCAGCCGGTCTTTCTACCGGTCGTTGTCTCGGTACTACTACAGTAGGCGCCATCATGCGCATCATAGCAACAGGTTTATTTTGAGTGGCACTCTGTTTTTGACCCATCGTGGTTTGTTTTATCTTATGATGTCAATAGTATATTTTTGAAATGTTTGCAATTATATTTTTATATAGGTTTCTGTTGCTCTTATATATGCTATTATACAGAATGCATCTATTGATGACATGTTGAATTGATCAAGCGTGTCAATGAAACATTTCTCTATTAAAGAAAGAAAAAAATAACATCGTGGGATGATTTTATACAGAGAAAACAAGACAACAAAAAATACTGCTATTTATTAAAAGTTCGAAAACATTGTAATTATGGACAATTTTAGAATATTGATATGCATTTGATATTAAAATAGAAATATTAATGTGCGACATAATTATTTTGATGAAATGATTACAACTCGTACTGCGTTGTTCGTTTGCAAACTATGAATATGAACCAATTTACTTCTGTGTCAAGTGCGTTTATATCTGAGTCATATTACGATAAAACATCTATAATGAAAGATATAGCGAACGTATAAAGGAACCCTCTTTTCGTAGCTGTGTATTAAATTGAATATAAATCTTAGTTACTGCTTTCATTATGTCAAATAAAATTAAGCCATTTCAGTTCTCAAAAGAAAGATATTTACCTCACATATATTTTTTCGATTATGTATCTGAATTATGCAAAATTGATAGAGACAAACTAGTGTATTCAATTAAAAATACAGCTGTGATTGTTTTGCTTAAGTCATTAATCGTATCATAGAAGGCAAATCATTTTAATCATTCTTCTAATATATACAAATATATATTTTGTATCTAACGGTTAACTTTGAAAACACATGAATGTATTCAGTATATAAAACAAAAACAAAATAATTAATTGTCTTTTTTCCAATTTTTAGCAGCATGTTGTCCAGCATGATAACCAGCCATATACCATGACATTAACATAGATTGATAAGCATCTTGTTCATTTTTTGGTGGAGTTATCATATTTAATGGTATTGGAATCGGATATGATTCTTTTGAATGTGATGTTACATCTTCTTTTTTAGATTTTTGTTTATAATTTGATGGAGAATTTTTATTTTTTGAAGAATCTTTTTTTGTTTTTGGATTATTACGAAGACGATTTTGAATCTGTCGATGAGCACGATCATAAGCACGAATTAATTCAGTATCATCCCATACTTCATCATGATTATCTGATGAACGATCAAATATTGTTTCACCAATAGTTGACATATTATAAAAGTTTTTTTACTATTAATTTCATCATTATAGTAAATGATATTACAACCAATCGTTTGAAAATAAGAAAGGGTGGCATCTATTGAATATCAATATTCATATAGTCGTCGCTATAGTTCATGATTATATTTCATTTTCAAAAGATACTAAATCAGAAAGCTTTTCTTGATGACATCTTATATTGAAACTAGATGTACAGTCAAGAATGAAGCATACACCAGCAGAAAAATATTATTTTTTTTCTTTCAAGGAGAAATTTTCACCCTTACGCTCTTTTAGATAGTTTTTTTTGATCAAGGTGCTCGAGCGTCATGCACATTCCAAGCAACGTCTCTGGAGCAAAACAAAATTTTGTAGAAGCGTCCGCGCTTCTGAAGCATTTCCTTGACTACATCTCTATATACATTATCAATAAAAAATGATTTACAGATATTTTTACGGAATTTATGAATAGCGAGTCTCACAGGTTTTCATTTATGTGTCAACCGAAATATAATAATTGCACATTCATGTGTTATTTATATTAGTAGAGTATGCTAGTTTCTTAATTCTTTTAATTTTATTACATAAACTCGTCTGAGCATGACAAGATAATGATTTACTCATAGCAAGAGACTTATGGTTAATATTTTGATTGATATAGAATTTGTCGTAGATTAACGCGTTCTATATTATGAAAAATACAGAATTCTGATTTCTTTACTCGCTAATAATGAGTAAAGTAGTTTGTAAAATTATAATATTATCATTTGAAATTAACAGATTATGTATTCTAACTGACAACTTTTATCTTAAGTCTTTCGGAAGAATATATAATTATCCAAACAAAAGTTTTCTATTATTTCTATGAATATCAATACGTATGTAGATGTTTAAAACGATCGATTTCATATAGAATCAAGACTTCAAACAATAGTACAGCTATTCATTTAATCTTGTTTTGATGATTTACATAATTTGTATCATTCCTTAATCAACACGCTAGTTATTTTTATCATCTTTCATCTCTTCATTAGTTGATAATTACTTTCCTCTAAAATATAATACTATCGAATATACTTATTTTATATAAATTTTCAAGGATAGTAAAAATATTATTATCTCTGTATAAAAATGATAGATTTTTCTTCGGCACTAATGACATGACAGATAAACATTCATTTGCTTATACGTCAAATTTGTGATATAATCAATGTTGATGACAACGTGTGATTCAATTAACACTAGGACGAACAATTACTAAAATAGTACTGATTGAATAAGGAACAATGAAAGACTTGTTTTGTTAATAGCATGAAAAAAAAAAAAAAAGTATTTCCCAATTGAATTCTTTCTTCAGAATTAATAACTATCTTTTTTTTTTATATTATAGTTTAATATTCTTTTCTTTATAAAGAGTTAGTAATAGGAATGTTCTCATGAAGGTTATTCTTAGATATTCACATGAGAAATTGAAGCTATGAATATATATTTTGCAATTTTTATGATTAACTAGTTATTGAAAGTATCAATATATATATATCTATTTTTATGAGTATAGTCATTTATTTTCTATGAATAAATGTCATCATTTATGTTAAGTAACAACTTAAAAACGCAAGTAAAAAAAAGGTAAAGAATACTTTATATTGTCAGCATAAGACGATTGAAGATGACGTGTTATAGACATATATAAGTATAAAAGAAAGAATTGAACAGCTATTTACGCATACACTTCTTTCTCTCTCTCTCTCTCTCCAACTATATAGTTCAACAATTGAATCACAATTGCGTAAGTAAAAAAGAAATGAGATCATTGTCTTACAGACGAACATCATTGTAGAATGAAAGAAAGAAGCAATTAGCATATAGAACCACTTTAACTATTATGCCAGTTCTTGACCTTATTCATCACATACATTGTTCGCATCTTTTTTCCTAGAATAAAATGATGGACATACTGTGCGCATTGAGACACTATAAAACATCGGTCATACATGTATATATATATATATATATATCTACTGTTCTTTTTTATTCCTTCTTTGTTGAATGATAAAATGTCTGACAAGAAGAAACTAACAACTAAATGGAATACATTATACGTTCTATTTAATATTTCAGATGCTTTTTAATCAAAATTACGAATAGATTATAGATGAGTCCAACAATGCAATCATGTTCTATGACTGAAGAATCTTATTGTGCACCATGGGATTTACAAATACAAGAAGAAAAATTAAAATTTCTTAATCAACAACATCAAAGATCATCTTTAAGTGCTAGTACAACATTAAGCGATACATTATTTCATCCTTCACATATAACTTATCAAACATCAATCAATCATACAAATACACCATTCCATCGTACTTACTCAGTACGTACACCTACAAAAAAACAGTTGTTCACATCTTGTGTATCATCAACATCTGTACTACCATCATCGTTATCACGTGGTATAAACGTTTCACATCAAAATGATACTGTAAATAATAAATCAATAATGAAAAATATCGATCCAACATTGAAAAAAATTTCTAATTGTCTTAATTCACATACAATTCGTGCAGGTACAACAACTTCACGTAGTTTTTTATTTACTTCAACATCACCAAAAAAAATTAATACATCAGTTGATCAACATGTTAGTCAACCAATATCATTTGGAGTAAGTTATTCTTTTTTCTTTTGAGAATAATAACTATCATTTTTCGTTTTAGACAGCTTTATTACGTTTTAAATGTTTAAGTTCATCAATTCATAATAATTCGCTATCAAAAAAATTAAAATCCGATGAACAATCATGGGATAAATTACCAACATCCTATCTTAATAATCATCATGGAAGATCATTACAAAAACTTCCGAATACAGAAGAAACAAAACGACATTGTTTATCACCTACATTTCCTTCAAGTCAACAACAATCGGAAGATATAACAATACTTCCTATTGATCGTTATTTGTAAATATTGAATACTAAAAATTCTTGTTTGATATAAATTTATGTATTTAGTTGGTATCATTTTTCAATGTCTCGACGTCAAGCGGAGAATATTTTAGAATCTCGTTCACCAGGTAGTTTTCTTGTACGTCAAAGTGAAAGTGGAAATCAAAATGATTATTCACTTTCTATAAAGTAAAACTAGATTTTTTTGTATAAATATTCTTCTACTTCTTCTTTCTTATCTAGAACAATCAAAGGTTGTATGCATATGCGTATTTGTTATTCGAGAGGATTTTATATTCTTGGTGAATGTTCTCGACCATTTTCAAGTGTCGCATATATGATTAAATATTTTAGCCAAACATCTGTACCTGTTCGTGGTGCAGCACATATTAAATTAGGTACACCGGTCTTACGATGCGAATTATTATTATCATCGTTATCGAATGAAGAACTTTTGTGATTTTTTTGTTTCTGGCTTTTTATATGTAGAAATTAGTAAAGAATAACAAATAAAAATGCTTTTGTTTATTTAAAAGGAATTTTGTATGTCATATATATTTGTTATTAGTCGCTATAAAACGTTTCTCGATAACTAACGACACATGCTATATATATGAACCTCCTTCTGTTGCTTGACAATTATTTAATGACAAATGTAACATTTTTATTTTTCATTTACTTTAATTTACTTGACTGAACGATTAACATGTCGTCTAACTATAGTGCTGGTCAATTTGAGCAAACATTTATGCCAAAACGTTTGCAAATGTATCAAGTACCACGAGAACCACAATCAGGCATAGTTAGTAGATCGGAATAGAATGATTAGCAATATATTATGCTTTATTTTTCTAGTATCCGAAAGGATCCATGGGCTCTAATACAAGTAATTTTGTTGCTAATGAGCATGGTCATATATTACCTGGTGTTGAAAAATCAAAACGATCACCATTTGGTGAATTTGTAGGAACATGGGATTTACCAAAAACAATACCTGGTCCGTATCATGTCACTTCAATGGGACGAACTGAAAAGAGTTTTCAAACACTTTGTGCTCAACGTGATCAAACTGTTGAAGAAATAGAAAAAGCTCGAGTTTATCAAGTTTGTCTTCAAGAATAAAACTGTTTTCTTTTCTTTTAACTCATTTATTTATATTATAGAAAGAAGAATGATCTGTTCATTAAACAACATGCGAAAATCAATCCATAATCGAAATATAGAAAAAAAAATTTAAACACTTATTTTTCGTTTATTTAACCGGTTTGAATATTATTTATTATGTATGTCTAAGTTCGAAGTGTAATGATGATTATAAATAAAATCCTATATATTTATATTTTCAAAGAAATGTATTCTAATGAAATTTTTTAGGAAGTCTAAGAGAACTGCAAATATAAAAGTTCTTTTGAACATAGTCAAATGTTGAAACGTAATTCTTAGTAACATAGATTGTCGAATTGATTTATTTTAAATGCTATCGCTGTGTTTCAGAAAGAACTTGATTGATAAATATCATCCAAAACTGATACTTCAGATAAGATCGGTGATTGGAAGTTATTCAAGTTGAACTAGTTTGATTCAGAATTTTTCATGCCCAGTATCAAATAAAACCGGACTATCAATTCAAGTTAATAGATCCTCTTTTGTCGACATCTCATCGAGCGACATCTATCCATTTTTTTTGCAAATTAATTTATACCATAAACACCAATCATATGCAATGATTTCCATAGTTTATTCTAACAGCTTCTAGTTAATAAATTTCGCAATGAAAACAATTTTCAGTAGAATTGGATTGACATATTAAATAATCATGTCACTATGCGTTTTTCTTTTACTAATACTAAATTCCGTATTATTTAATTGTTCTAGACGATACATAAAAGCAAAACATGCGTCTCGAAACATGTTATTACTGTTCATCGACGGTCTGGCCTGGTCATGGCATTCAATTTGTACGAAATGATTGCAAAGTAAAATTATTTTTTTCAATTTGAAACTTTTTCTTCTCATAGCAATAGTAATTTAGATTTTTAAATTTTGTCGGTCACGTTGTCATCGTGCATTTAAGAAAAAATGGAATCCACGTAAATCACGATGGACAAAAGCACATCGTAAATTTACTGGAAAAGATTTAACAACTGATACAACATTTGAATTCGAAAAACGTCGACATGAACCAGTAAAATACGATCGTGAATTATGGCAAAATACAGGTTAATAATAATAAATTAATGCATATTTGAAAATAAATTATTTTTCGTATTTAGTCAAAGCCATGGGAAGAATTGAAGAAATCCGTACTAAACGAGAACGACATCATATTATGAAACGGTATAAAATTGTTTTTCTATGAAATCTCAATTATTGTTTGATTTTTCTTTTTAAAAAAAATTAGTCTTCGACAAGGTACACTTGATCGAAAGGCTGCTGATTTACGTGAAGTACGTGATTATATTCATCTTGTTCGAGCACCAAATGCAACAAAACCAATGGAAGAAATTGAAATGGTACAGACAGCTATGCAAAGACGTGAAGAAAACGGTGAACTTCTAACTAAAATTGGTACAACAGTATCAACAACAAAAAAACTAACAGCATTACGTCGTCGTCCACTGACAATTAATCGTCCACCGAAAATTAGTGTTGTAATCGAAACATCAGATTATGAGCAAGCAGCTGCTAATGATGATGATATGGAATAATCATTGTTTTTGTTTTGTTGTTAGTGTTTCGAAAAACAATAAAATGTTTCACAGATCGTCTTCAGATGAAATTTATAATATTAATTCAATAAGAAGATTTCTAGAGAAATCATGACAACATATTTGCACCTATTCACTTTTTCTTAATTCATAAATCAATCATCATAGTAATGAGTAAGAAGGAATCTAACACATAGTCATAAATTAGTTATACTGATCATTGTACACTTGCAACAACTCAGTCAATAGAGAACAAGGGGGAAATAGCAGATCCCAAGAATCCTAGACTCCAAGACTCCGCGACTCTGAAATCCAAGGCCTCAAAAGACTTCGTGACTCTGGAGTTCAGGATTCCAAGGGACTCCCATCTGCCGATTCCCTCTTGATGGAGAATCTCTGTATAATGAATGGTTTTGATAAGATTCGAATTCTAATGTAATTCAACATGGTGACATCTTATACAGTGATTTATCTATAGGGAGGGCAAGGATGGCGGCGCCCTCCTGGAGGCCGATTTTAACCTCCCGAAAATTGCAATTTTTGTGCTTATACTGTGTATTTTCCTTCCAGAAATTAGGTTTTCGCCCTCCCAAAAATCGCTATCGCACTCTCGGAAGGAAAAACCCAGGTAAAACATTGATCTTCTACATATAAATACAATTTGAATAATTTGCAAAAGTTTTTTTTTAAGCATACTGTATGTCATTATAATACCATTTTTGATCCATCTGTTAAGTTCTGTAAAGTAAAAAGAAAGAAAAATGAATTTGTTTTTGTTATTATGAAATATTATTTGTTGTCATACTGATCGTATAAAAATAAGATGATGAATTTTGAATTATTACCTAATGAAATCTTTCTCGATCTTTTCGATTATTTCAATGGTATGGATCTTCTACAGACGTTTTATAACCTTAATTTTCGGTTCAATTTTCTTCTCTACAAACAATTTCGAAAATATAAATTCGATTTTAATTGCATATCGAAACGTAATTTTGATTTAATCTGTCAACATCATCTATCTTTTATTGCTGATCGTATAATTACTCTTTGCGTTTGTAATTCTGAAGATACTCCCGAACAAATTAATGTATTTCTTTCTTACATACCATCATTCAAACAATTCACTGGATTACGAGCACTTTCAATTGGTTACATACATTCATATGAAATATTATTAAAAATTTTAGATGAATGTCATTATCTTTGCAATCTTACTAGTTTGCAATTATATTACTGGACTTTTCCAATAGATGATAATAATTTACAAATAATTATAGATAATATTTGGAGTTTACCAAAATTAAATTATTGTAATTTTGGAATAACTACCAATGAATCATCTGTATTATTTACACCGACAAAAATATCTTTAACACTTGAAAATGTTGTTGTTTATGGGATATATTTTAAATTTAATGAAATAAATCAATTATTTAAATGTACACCTTGTCTTAAACATCTTTCAATATCGATTGCATCTGTTTTTCAAGATAATTGTATACTATCTAGTCTTTCAACATTAACTCATTTGAACATACAAATTTCTGATAAATCGGAAGATCGATTGATAAAGATTTTTCAAAATACGCCTAATTTATATCGTTTAGAGATTAACTTATTCGAGGATTTAATCAATGGTTATCAATGGGAGCAAATTATTCGTAAATATCTAACAAATCTAAAAGTATTCCAGCTGACAATGTATGATATGATATCTATCTCTACGTATATACAGGAGGAAGCCGATAATTTATTCGATTCATTTCGAAGTTCATTTTGGATTGATGAACATCGATGGTTTATTCGATGTTGGGCATCGGATCCATTGATTCAACTTTGTACTTCACGTAATACAGCAACTGATTATAATGCAGAATCAATACCTGATTTTTACAAATCAACATATCCAAACGATAATATAGAAGAATTCTGTAATCAAATGATTAGTATCTATGATGAAAACTTTTTCGATACAACAATTCCTTCTTCTATCTGTTTGTCTCACATTGAATTTCTGTATATGAAACTTCCTATCAATGAACAATTCTGGTCTATTGTTCCAACTTTAAAACAATTGAGATGGCTTTCCATAAAATTTCATAATGATACTTTACAATCTCAAGTACAAATTTTACTTGATCGAGCATGTCATCTTGAAACATTAATAATTAGTCAAGATGATTCATTACCTTTACAAACAGCATTATTTAAATATACAAATTCAACTGTTCGTGAACTTCATTTACACGAATGTAACTATTATTTCAATGAAGAAGAATGTATTACATTAGCTGATTCACCATTAGGTCTCCAATGTCAAGTTCTTTCGATTGTAGTCAAAAACTGTGAAAGTATAGTTATTCTTGTTCAACATATGAATAATCTTCGCATATTGAAAGTTGTAGTAAAAGATGAAAATAATGATAAACATATTCAATGGTTAAAAGATTATTTACCATCAACGTATATTATTACAAGAAATGTTAACATGCGTAATGGTATTTTAGTATGGATTTGATGACTAGAAAAAACGTATAATCATTTTCTATTGTTTCAACTATATTTTACTATACTATTACATAAAGAATAAGTTGATAATTTTTATCTAATATTCAATGGATAAACTACTGTTTATAGTATATGATATATATAGAATAGATAAGATATCGAAGAAAAGTACCTTAAGGGTAAACGAGATGTTAGAAAAATGTTATTTGAGATATGATTGTTATACATATGCTAATGATCTACTCAATTGACTTAGGATTTCTTACGATAATTAGGAACATTATTAGTGAGTGTATATTCTTGAGGGTGTGAATGTCACTTCTTTACTGACACTCACCCCTTCAAATTTGAAACTTAGATATATATTTCAGTTACGTAATAAAGAAAAAAGTATCATCCAAAAATAATTTTTATTAATATCTTGCAACAACAAAGACATTTAAATTATCGATTGAATATTGGAAATAACAGGAGCGTAAATAAAAGGGGGGCGCGTAGGGTGTAAACCTTCCTCCCTGCTTCCGAAAACTAATAGGAAAAAAGAGGTTTATACCACCCTGCTTCTAAAAAGTTTATTTTATTCAATCTTCGAAACAGAAAAGCTAGGGTTACGCCTGCCCTGCTCTAACACCTGACTTCCGCCTCTGTCAAAATATATAAAAAAAAGTTGTAGACTCCTATTGGAATCAGACATGAATGATTCACGAATGATTGTCTTTTTCTTTTGTATTCTCTTCAACTACAATTACTTTCAATGCTGATAACCCTTATCATTAGGTTACACACTTTCTGCATACTTCGTTGTTCCTTTTTTATTCATTTTATCAATTTGATAGACGACAAAATATAAAAGAATGAATACTACGGACTTATCACCAAGGTCAATAGGTATTAAACATAATGAACTTGAACAAATTAGTCATTATACCTATGCTATTCTATTTCCAATTATATTTCTTTTTGGTCTTATTGGTAATTTATTTTCATCAATTATTTTTTCTATAACAAAACTTAGTTATACTTCATGTGGAATTTATTTTCTTTTACTTGCTATTTTTGATTCAACAGCATTAATTGGTGGTTTACATCATTGTTTAACAATTGGTTATCATGTTCAAGTACGTAATGCTAATTATTGTCGTGTAAGAAATTTCTTTTTATATATGTCAATGGATATGGCTTCATGGATGGTTGTAGCTATATCAGTTGATCGTTATCTTAAAGTTAAATTTCCAATAAAAGCACGAATGTATGCAACAAGAAAATTAGCAATTATTATATCATGTGTTATCATATTTATTTTTATTCTAAAAAATTTTCATTTATTAACAGTTTTTATTGGTGATTTTACAGATGATGCAGCAGATCATTGTGATCCAAATCCTAATCATCCGAATTATATGTTTTTCTTTAAAAATATTTGGCCATGGATTGATTTAGCAACATATGCATTATTACCTTTTATTATTGTTACAATATGTAATATATTAATAATTCATGATCAATATAAAAGACGTTTAAAATTACGTAAACGTAATCTTGATCGATCATTAATAACATTACTTTTAGTTTGTTCAATTTCATTAATTGTTTGTAATCTTCCAATAACAATTCTAGCTGTTATATATCCTTATATTTCATTATCATATGATACAAATGAACTATATGATAATGTTGCATTTGCATTTGATATTCTTCGATTACCATCATATATATCATTAGCTTTAAATTTTTATTTATATTATTATAATTCAACTTTATTTCGACAACAAACAGTTTTTCTTTTTCGACGAATATTTCGTTTACAACCAAAAATTCTTGATGTTGAACTTCCAAATCGAATATATACTATTCAAGATCGATATACAAATAGACTTGATTCATTCGATGAAGTAGATGACGATCGATCATCACCGGCACCGTCAATAACAGGCAGTAGTTTTATTCCGAATTTTTATAAACAATGATGAAACTATTCATTGAATTTGTTTTCAAATTTTGTAAATAAAATCAAGAACAACTCATTTTTGTATCTGTATATTCTTTAGAAGTGTTATAAATAATGCATTTAACAATTATTTTAATTGATGAAGATATCTCGAAACAGTAAACTATAGGACTGTACTATGAAATTTATTTCATGAGTATGTCTCTTGATTATTATTCAAATGTCAGTTTTGTTTGATATGTTACAGGTAGGATATGTAAGATAGGTGAACGAGATTTCTAACTTTTTCTCATCTCTGTGTTGGTTTATACACGGAGACGACCGAAGTTTTCGAATAGCGTACATGTCATTTGATGGTGAACTCTTTCGATGATGGAGTAGATATACAAATTTGGAGTAAAATGGAAGTTATATGATCATGTTATCATTTCGTGTAAGTCTTGTACCATGCTTACTCATTGATATGCTATTTCAGAATCTAAAACCCAGTCCGAACTAATAATTAACAAGTCATTCGAAGAAAAGCGAGTATCATGGGGCAACAAAGAAAATTAAAACTTTCTATTCTAATTATTTCCATGAGAAACATCGCACTATGTAACAAATGATTTAATAGTAATAGTCGCAAAACAGATGACACATACATTAAATTAATACAAGACTGATCCTAGAAAACAGCATGAATCTTGATTTTGAAGACTAATATCATCAGTAGTTATATTTTTGACATGCGAAAACTACCTTGAAAGTTTGGTATACCAATCGAGCAATTGCGGTACTTAATTTACTGTAAATATCATAATTCAATAGAGAAAAGTTTTATCAGCTATTACTATGTGTCAATATCAATGTAATAGTCTTTCATTCATGGTTTAAAATAACGGAATTTCTTATTGGCTGATTAGTATGTTTATAGTTTATCATTGAGCATAAAAACAATAATCAAATAAAAAGAACAGACACTTTTAATTATAACAGATGGAATAAATAAAAACGTGAATATAATCATAACAAAAGCAAAAAGAAAAAAATTATTCTATGTTATTTTTAGAGTTCATCACCGGCAGTTTTCTTCTTTGAACCATCACGTTCATAACCATGAAGAGCATCTGTAGCTTCTTTAGCTATATATTTAATGAAATCATCGACTTCACGTGCACCCTAGAATAAGAAGAAGAAAAAACAAATTTGATAATATTATTTCAAAAACAATCCTACTTCATATTTTCTTGGATTATTTTTATCATTTTTAGGTGCAAAAAATATTGTTGGAAATCCTCGAACATTATATAGACTTGGAACATCATTTTCAGTTGCATCCATTTTAGCACTAAAGAATTATAACAAAAACATTTTGCTATATATTTAAATCAAAATATTATATTATCTTACATAACAATATCACTTTCTTTGCTTAATGTCTTAGCTAATTCATCATATTTAGGTGCAAGTGATTTACTAAAAATAATAAAAAGTTGTAATGAAAAAAGAATCTGTCATCCTTACCAGTGACCACACCTAAACAAAAAAAAACAATTATAATTTCTTATTTAAATATAAAAATGATATATTTACCATGGTGCATAGAATTCAATGAGAACGTCTTTACTATTATCATTAACTATTTCATCGAAATTCTTTGCAACAACAACTTTAACATCTTCAGTTTGTTCAGGAACTGCTGCTGATTTTAAATATGGTTCAATATCACCTTTAACTAATTTACGAGCGAATTCTTCAAGAGCTTCATAACTATTGGAGGAAGAAAAAAGAAACAGTATTTTTATGTTGTATAGAAGAAAATTTTCATTCAAACCTGAAGTCTTCTGACATTCTATATTTTTCATCTTTAGCACCACGAGCAAGTACATATTTTGCATCTTTTTTAGCTTCACTTACACCAAATTGAGTTAATTCTTGACGAAACTCATCAAGATTACTAATAGCAAATCGTACATTAACATTTTCATCGGCTAATTTTTTAGCGACTTTTAAGATACGATTACGTACATAATTTGTACCTTTTGTATCACGAGTATAATCAACATTATAATAAACAACTACTGTTGGTTTAGTAAAATCAGCAGCATTAGAGGGAATTCGATGACCGACAAGACCGTAACTAGAAAGAGAAATGAAGTAAATAATTTCCTTTCGAGGGATTTTACATGTGCACCGTCACCCATCGTTATGTTAAATAATAAGACTTACATTTTGTCTTGAATAAATGTTTTAATTTTATCACCAACACCTTCAACAACTGAAAAAGCATCTTCAAATTTCGAGTGTAATCGTTTAGGTTGATGAACAACAATTTTACTATAAATAAAAATTATTAATTCATTTTTAATATGAAGTCAAAAAACTATACTTTGAATGTCCAGCTTTTTCAAGAATATCTTTTGCTGTTGTATAAGCAAAACGAAATTTTTCCGATAATTGATTAGAAACTTTAACAAGATCATCTTTTAATGTTTGAGTTTCACTATCGAAATAACCTAGTTTTTAAAATAATACATTCAAAATAATTCATTTTTAATTTTTATATTCACATACCAATAATACTATGATCATTATGTTCTAAGAATTTTTCATAATCACCTAATGTGTTAAGTACACGATATGATGGACCCGCTTTTGATCGCATTGTTGCAACAATACCATCTAAAAAAGAATATACTTATTAGGAAATATTTGTCTCCTATTAAATATTTACCAGCTTCTCGTGGACCATTGTATTCTTCAGCTACTGCACCATTTTTAAAGATTTTTAAAGCTATGTGTTATAAAACATATATGCATAAAAAATAATAGTATAAAGAAGAATATATAACATACTTGGATAACCACTAACACCATATTTAGTACAAGTTTTGGTTTCAACAGTACAATCAACCTAAGAGCAAAAATATGTTGTGTTTATCTATTCATGGAATATTTTATTATTACTTTAACAAGAGCAACAGGTGGGTCATTCTTTGCTAATGCTGTTGCAGCTTTTTCATATTCTGGTGCAAGTCGTTTGCCTAGAACAGAAAATATCGTAAAGAATATTTTCCCCAAAAAAAAAAACTTGAACTTACAATGTCCACACCATGGTGCATAAAATTCCGCAAGTAATATGTCATGTTCTTTAACTTTACTTTCAAAATCACTATCGGTCCAAACATGTACATCACTTGACGTTGCAAATGTTATTAAAACAACAAAACAACTTATAAATAGTATTGAATGCATTTTGTCTTTCAGCTATAAATGGAAGTAAAAAAAGCAATCTAACAGAATAATATGCTTCGTATTGTATATTTTATAAAGACGATGGCCTGTAAAGACTTGGAGTAACATGATTGGATAATTTTGAATTACCAATCAAGATTCATAAAATTTTAGTTGAAAAAATTACATTGAGATAGTAAAAATTAATTTATTAAATATATTTTCAACAATCTGTTTCGAAATTTGTAATAAAGTATGAATGAACAATATATATTGGTGAAAATAGATGTCAAATAAAAGACAAGCAAAGATAAGAAACGTTCTTTTATATGTATCATATATCATACCACTTCACAAATAAAAACAAATCTTTCGGAAGGTTATTGTTTAAATCGTTATCTTGATATATTAAAAAATTATTATAATCAAATTGATAACTATATTATCAGGCATTCGTAACAAAAGAAAAAATAGATCCTGAAATCAAAGTACATAAAATCATTTGTAATAACTACACACTTATTTTTATATGTTCTATAATAAAATGAATATAAAGATGCATATAAATGTGGTAGACGGTTAATATCCTTATGTCGGATTGACATCTAGAATGAGGTCAATAAAACCTCTGTTAGTTAATATCAATAAAATTCTACATAAAGTATTCAATAAAGAAAATGTTCATTATATGAAGGTTTCATATCGATCGGTTGACAATTACTCATCTTTTATGTCATGATTTATCTCAACTATCGTAGAAAGAAAAAAAAACGTTCTTACAATTATACAGTAGAGAAGCTTCTCTTTATTGTTATAAATAAACTACATCTTGTTGTCAACTTACAATCGTAAATAAAAAAGTAACTTGATACTCCGCTTGAATTTGTTGAAGACTTCAGACACACTCAACGAATTAAAACTGTATCATATAATATTAATTGGAAGATAGTTAGTTCATTTTTAATTTCTAAAACTTGATAGCTGATAATAGACTTCTCACATAATCGAGTTTCATTGAACTACCAACCAGTACTGATTCTGAGATTTATCAAAACTTGCTTTGAATAAAATTTCAGACAGATAATTTATAAATAGATTTTTCTCGTTAAAGTACATGTAGCATCTGGTTAAAATTACTTATTCAATAAAACATTGGTAAACTTAGACACCTCTATTTTTTAACTGGATTGAATTTCTTGATTATATTTTCAAATGACAACAGCTGACTGAAAAAAGGTTAATCATCGTATGATTGTCTTTATCAACAGTACATGAATATGTACTTTTATTATTTAATTCATTATTTAAATAGAATTTCTTCGACGGATATCGAATAAATAGATAAATGAATAATAAAAAATTCTTGTGATCTTTTTGTTAACAATATCAGATGATACTTGAGTTAAAGCAAAACATAGCACATATTTACCAATTAGATTTTCTCAATTATCAATATTCAATCAAAGATATTCCGCGTCATATAAAAATGATTTAATGACTTTAGCGTAGTACTAACGATCCAACCAGTTGCTACCTTTATTATGTACTGCACTTTTTTGCAAACACAAAGTCACAATGTTTCATCGACCAAGAACAATACACAAAGTGGGTGTTGTAGCTGGAATAATTTTTGTCGTTTATATCAACATTTCTATACTAATATCAATTAAATCTTTGCAACGTTCTCAAGATTCAATATATTTACCTGTACATTTTTACAATGTCTCAAATAATATAGAAGATGCAAAAACTTCTTTTGATGATACTTCCGTTTGGTGTCTAGAAATGGCTCAACGTTTAGATAATGAAAAACATTCTCCACTATCTCCTCAACTTCGCTCTCCTTTATCAAACTCAACAAGACTTCATCGTTTACCTTATCGTTATTCACAATGGAAATCATCACCTCTTCTTCCTCGCCGTTTGACTCGATGTGAACATATGTTACTGATGCATTTATTGACAGTTTTCGAACGACTTTGTCGAAAGCATCAGATCACATTCTTTATGATTGGTGGAACATTATTAGGGTCATGGGTACATCATGATATTATTCCATGGGATGATGATGTAGATTTATTGATACCTCATGAAGCAATACCTCGTTTTTCTTTAGTATTAAAGCAAATGAAAAATACATTAGTTAGATATCAGCTAATCAAACCAACAAAACCTAAAGAAATGTATTATAAAATCTTTTTTGATCACACACCATCAGCTGGTGAATTCTCATGGAATTTTCCATTTCTCGATATTTGGTTTTATAAAACAAATGAAACACATTTCTGGAGAACAGATTCTCCTGAGCAAACAATTGATAACAAGTATGTTTTTCCAGTAGTTATGAGACCATTTGGAGAACTATGGTTACCTGCACCACATCAAACACAATATCTTATTAGCTTACAATATGAAAACATTACTTGTAAAGGACATTACTGGAATCATAAAACTGAACGTAGTCAAGAAGAAATTGAAGCAAGTTGTGAAGATCTAAAGAATGTTTATCCATTTGTGGAACGAGATAAGACTAATAATTCCATTGAAGTTCTAAGGACAAATGATGTTATTGTTCATACTGTTGTTTATGATTAATTACTTTATTTTTAAAGAAAACTCAAAATAATATTAATATAATCAATTAACTAGCTAAGATTAAACTACATGGCATTCTTAATTTGTATCTTGTTACTGATATAAAAAAATGTCATAAATTGCGAGTCATCTTTCTTTACTACGTTCACATAAATAACATATCAAGTATCACAATCATATAAATATAGATAAACAAATTTAATTGACTATACTCAATGGAGTATAGATAATCTCTTCGTTATTGATATTACTTCATTTGTGAGAACAAAATATTTCAGTACGAGCTGAGTCATATATCGATAGTTGTTTTGATTGAAAATCTGGTACTCAGATCTCATGATCTGTCAAATAAAGACCAACAAGGATGTGTATATTAAGTTCGACTTTAGTCCATCTGGCATCTATCTCCTTACTCTCTCTAGTAATTAATTCTACAAAATTTCTTATAATCTCATTTTTTTTGTTTGTTTTGCATTTGTACTATTATGCATAACCTTACGAGATGCGTCGATAGTTAATATAAGCATATTGGTAACATATGCAAAACTACATCTATTTATATTATAAATTACAAATAGTTCGTTTTCTTTTGTTAACTTTCGATTACCGTCCTCATTTTCTAACTTCAACAGTATCCTGGGGTCCGCGTGGTCTCATCCCTATAAAAATTACAAAAAATGATGGTTCTGCTTTACGTAAGGTATATATTTATATATTATAAATTTCCAAATACTTTTCTTCCTAGAGACCTATTTATCGTTTCTTATAGAGTCAATATAAGAACGCACGACGCGAAGAAAAAGGATTGACTCATACTAGTTTTTATCCAAAGATAGTGAAAATTTAACGATTTATAAAGAAAATGTGAGTCACTATTATGAAAGATAGACGTGCAAACGAATTAGAACGTATTTAATTATGAAAATAAATCGATACGTAACAGATGGCAGTTATAAAAAAGCGAAAAATCATATATAAATCATCGTTGGTATCCTGAGGTCCGCGTGGACCCGTATTCGTATTTTTTCTCTCTTAGATCTAAGCATGATTTTTTATATGGATATTGTACATTTACTAATGACTAGAGATTACATAAAACAAATGACTCGAAACAGTAAATAGTTATGTAGTGCGAGACGAAAATCTGTAAAGTGGATCCACGCGGACCCCACAACAGTAACTGAGGGTTAAAGTACAACGTTTGAATACAATATAGAAAACTAGCTGAAAGAAAGTGGTTTTTACTCTCAATTTTTAATATCAGATTACAGGTATGCAAAAAAAATAAAAGTGAAAAAAGTGAATAGTATTCCGATCAAGACGTGTCTAGTTTTCATAATGTCATCAATAGTAGTTCTAGAATTTATTTCAAAATATTCATTATATGCTGATATTATTACATTCACATTTTGATTCATTAGCAATACTTTCAATATTACTGTTTTCACTTATCTCAAATGCTTTCGCATGAATCAATATACTTTATATTTAACAGTGGAATTTATTTTATATACAACAAAATTTAGATTAGTTTTTATGCCTATATGATAGTATTCTCACGATATCATCATCAAGTAAAATATGTGTTGAAAAAAAATTGTTCCAGAACATCGAATACCATTTGAAGCAAATATTGAACTTCAATAAATATTCATCTGTTAATCTTATACTATCTTGCTTTCTAATAAGCAATCCTGTTCATATCAATATGAACTTTCTTAATATTACTAGTTAATATAATGAATTCTATCGGATAATTAATATTTACTATTAGTTTTCTCAATAGTCTAATATATAATATTTTGTTGTGATTCAATCAATGTAAAGGTTGTAATAACCACTCGATTTTAAAAAATAACAAACTACATAAAAAAAAAATTGAAACTTTGAATTTTCTGTTATATTCAATTGCTTAATAGTTTTATATAATTACGAAAGAATTTTCGTGTATAACGACACAAAAATCTGAGAATGACTCAGGCTTAGAGAAAAAAACACATGAATGCATTTTTGAAACGATACTCTACTAGTATTACTGATTAATCAATTTTATATAATCTAACATCAATGTAATATATGTCTCTTTTAAAAGATTAAATGAAGAAATATTATTATTTACACTTGTATGGTTTTATTTCATCAATCGACATACGTCAATTTCAAGACTAAATATCTTGTTGATGTTCGTAATATGTTTTCTTCGTATTTTAAAAAAGAACATTTTTTTTACTCGTTCTTCTTTTTTCTCTTCATATTTTTTTGAATGAAAATAAAAAGAAAATGGTTTAACCCGTCTGTTAAATTTCTATTTGCATTTTATAAAAAAATAAGAATCTTTTCGAAAATTGATGACGTCAATGACACAAGCACATATTACTGACAAAACAAATTATCAACGATTGTTTCGAGATCGATCTGCATCAACAAAAGAAAGTTTAAAGACTCTTTCATTTAATGTCTATTCTTCTCGACATTTGATATCCCCGCTTACAAAACAAATTAAATATCAACCATGCAATAGACCTATTTTACCACCAATAACTAAAGATGAGAATCGAAATCAACGAAAACTTAAACGTCCATCCTATCGTAAATCTATTTATTGTTCTCTTATGTCAAATACTCCGCCAATTGATTTACCCGTCATAACAACTAATCGTACAAAACCTGAACTATTAACATTATTACAAGATGAAACATTAATACATTTTCAATATCATCATGCTCCACCACCAACACCATCGGATGATCAATTAGGACGAATATTAATTGAATTAAATCAAAATGAAGAATTTATAACAGATGTATCTACAGAAGACAATGAAAGTGGTCTTGTGCCATATCGTTTACCAGCACTTAAGCAGCAATCAACAAAACAATTACGTCAAGAAAAAAATTCTCCACCTAAACATAATATAGCAATTCTATCGAATTATTATCAAACATTATATTCGAAAAATTGACTTATTTTTTTTTTGAAATTCTTTTGTCTACAAATTATAATTTATTGCATTGTCATCGATATAACAAGTAAAAATCAATAATTATCTTCTTATTCTTAATTAAAGATTATATATTATAGAAATATCGAGAATGCATTTTTAACATTGCAAATATTTTCTTCATTTTGAAATCCTAGTTAATAATTATAAATAAAATACATTTGAGAAAAAGAATACCGTCTGAATCAGTTTGATTTGAATACATGTGTAAATTGTATACAACTATAGACACATTGACTGTATGGTACTATAATATTTCAGTCCAGTTCGAACAGTATTATCCAGATATATGCACGCTATTTGTATGAATCATTGTTTCTGTACAAAATAAATTTTGAAAGAAATGGATAAATTTTGTCTATATTCTTAATGTTCACATAAGCACGTCCGACAGGACAATATGACCTACTGTCTATGTAAATGCGTGTACAAAGAAAAGAGAGTGATATCATTCGTTGTTCTTTGTTGTAAACAATGAAAAGATGATGATGATATTATGAATACGTCGGCCGATATGTTTTGTAGACATGTATAAATAGATAGTGTCACAATGTTTCTAGTTATTCAAGAAAGGTATACATAAACCTAATCTTTAGTAATTATTATTTATTAACAATTTTAACCGATTCAAATTCTCTTGAGAGGTAAATTAAACAGTAATCTTTTTTTTTGACATATAATATTATATTTTATTTTATTTAGGAGAAAATAAACAAAAATGAAAACTGGTTTATTTATTGCATTGTTGGTGCTTGTAGCATCAGCCAATGTATTTGGTCAATCGTTGAACGAAAAAACCGATGAACGAAAAGATGGTCTTGATGGAACAGTAACTGGTGAAAAAGTTAGACCAGGCACAATTATACGTGAAGAAAACAAGACTACTACATTCCGACGTGAAGAAATCAAACCTGAAACAATCATTCGTGATGATACCAAATCTGATACACTCCGACATGATGATATCAAAACTGATACACTCCGAACTGACGAAACCGTAACTGTTGAAATTCCACGTGATGAAAATATCAAACCAGAAGCACTCCGACGTGTTGAAAAAACCAAGACTGAAACTGTTCGAACTGAAGAAACCAAACCTGCTCCAGTCGTACCAGTAGAAACCACACCTGTTGCAATCACACGTGATGAAAATATCAAACCAGAAGCACTCCGACGTGATGAAAATATCAAACCAGAAGCACTCCGACGTATTGAAAAAACCAAGACTGAAACAGTTCGAACTGAAGAAACCAAACCTGCTCCAGTCGTACCAGTAGAAATCACATCTACTACAACCCCACGTGATGAAAATGTTAACGCAGATACACTTCAACGTGATGACATCCAATCAAACAAAGGTTTACGTAAAAAAAAAGTTACAAAAGTTACAGAAGTACATGAAGAAGAATCATCACTTGACGGAAAAAAGGAACGTGAATCTGAAGAACGTGTCACACCTGGTGCCGAAAAGGAACGTGAATCTGAAGAAGATGTCAAATCTGATACCGAAAAAGAAGTCGATGAAACAAGTGAACATAAGGAAGTAGATGACAAAGAACGTGTTGATTCAAATGAAGTTGACAGTAAATTTGTTAAAACCGAAGATGTCGAACCCAAAGTTGATGTTACCGTAACCAAGCACGAAACATCTCGAAAAACTGGATTAAAATTATCAACTGGCGATGTACGTAGTAAAACTTTTTCTTTTCAACATGAATCATATATATTTTATTTTTTAATATTAGCTTGCTCGAGTATCTGAAAAGAGTATCCATGTCAGTGGTAACATTCTTCTCGTTAAATATCGTCCAGCAGCTGTTGATTCAGTTCAATATGATCTCGATGGTGCACGTTTAATTCATGGCAGCCGTCCATTAGTTGAATCACGTTTACCATTTGCTCGTGATTATCTTGCAAAGGGAAGCCATGTTATGCTTTATGTTTCAACATTAAAAACAACTGATCCTAAATTAGCATTTGCCAAATTTCCAGTTGAATATAAAGTTGATAACTTTCCACTTACATTCGATATTGATATTGATTTACCAGATAAACAACTTGGTCTTCTTGAACGTTCTGACATTACATTATATTTCTTCGTTTATATTACTAATGTTTATCAACGTATGGATACATTCCTTCCAGCTGGTACAAGTCAAATTCTTTTACAAGGAACAAACCGTCTTGTGCAAAAACTTGATGTTTATGTTCGTCCAAGTGGTATTGAAATTACTGGTTTATTTCGTGGTCGATTCGGTGAAAAATATATTCAATCAGGAACAACATTTCAAATTCTTATTGTCTCTGAAAAAACTTTACTTGACAAAAATTTTTCATCAAAAGATGCTGTTGCTCAATTAACAATTACTGATGTACCAGCTATGTTTCCAATTCCATTTTCACTCTTAGTTAATCATCAAATGTTAGAATCAGATATGAAATATTACGCAGTTCCTTACATTATTGAAAGTGGTGTTCGTCGTATGATTACATTGAAGCCAGTCTGGGTTATCAATGAACAAAAAGTTCTTATTACACCACAACTTATCTTTACTGTTATTCCATATCCATTTATTATTAAAGGTTTCGTTTCACGTGCCATGCCAAATACATTCTATATTCAACCAAATTCAGTACTTAAAATTCACTTTCATGAATTGGGCACACCAATAGAAGATGATATTGTTTTTAAATTACCAGAAATTGTAACACTTCCACAAGTATTTCAAGTTAATGTTAGTCAAGCAGTATCATTTGATGCATCGAAAAAATACGAAGTTCGTGCAGTTCTTTATGATGAAACAAATGAAGCTTATATGGCTACTATACAACCAATTCCACTTCTTGATGAATTTTCACGATTAAGTATTCCAGTTGATGATCTTCTTTATTACAGTCGAGTTCGTCTTCATGCATCATCAAATCAATTATTAAGTTATATGCCAGGAAGTTCAGCTCAAATTTTTGTAACTGAAAGTCCAGAAACACCAACAAAACCAATTGTCGCTATGCGTGTTGATAAAATCGATGTTGATTTCCATGATTTCTTAATTAAAGTACCAGCTACAGCTATCGAACATGGACGAAATTATTATTTAGTTATGATGATTGAAGTTCATGGTATTATTACACATGTATCAAAAAGTTTATTTATCTCAAATAATCAACCACCACCACTTGTTATTCAATTACCAGTATTATCACTTAATTTAGTTCGTGGTGTTATCTTCGATGTTGACAATCGTCCAGCACAATGGTCATCATCATCTTATGCTACTCTCTATTTACTTGATGATACAATTACTGATATGGAAAAAGCTGTTGTTCAAACATTCAAAATTCATTTAGAAAATGATTTTCCAGTTCGTTTCGAAATACAATTAGATTTCGGTCGTCTTCATGCTGATCGTGTCTATCGTTTACAAACAGCTATTGAAAATGGACGTGGTTTATTAGAATACAAACCAGCTGGTAGTGTACTTATATTAAACCCACAAAGTGGCTTAGTTACTGATATCCGTATTCCAGTACGTAATTTCAAAACATTTCAAGTAGTTAACGGTCTTGTTTATATCAACGACTTTACAGCAGCATTACCTGAAAGAAGTGAAATTATTGTTCAACTTAGTTCATCACCAGTAGTATCAAATCCAAGTGTTATTGATGAAATTCGTATTAAAGTTGAAGGTCATACTTTACCAGTTAATTTCACAATGAATTTACCATTAAATAAAATTGATATCAATGCAGTTTATTACTTCCTTGTTCGATATACAGTTCGTGATGTAGTTGTTATTCCAGCAAGTCAAGTATTTGCTTTCTCACCACGTAATGAAGCAACAATTGTCTTAACATTATCAAAAACACCACAAATTCCAATTACTGGTCAAGTTACATCAACTGGTAGTGCACTTATTTTACCAACTGATTCAACATTACATTTATATATAACTGATGATGTTAGTCATGAAAAACCACTTATCTATAGTGAAGTTTTTCTTCAAGCTTCAACAAACAGTATCTATGAATTTACAATGAATATTGATTCAATCATTCTTCAAAGTAAAAAACCACTTTATCTTCAAGCTGATATTATCTATCATGATGCTATTATCATGAGTATGCCACGTCGAGCTTTACTTCAAATTACACCAGGTGGTGAATGGAATATTAACTTAATTGTTGATTTACCAACACTTCTTATTGGCAAAATTGTAACAATGAATTCAGATGAAACTGTCGAAGGTGATTTCGATGTTCATGTTGAAATTCTTGATCGTACAACAACAAAGGTCGTACATACAACCAAAATACGTTTTGACATTAAAGGTTCACGAGATTTCCGTATTGAACTTGATACTGAATTATTTATTCATTATCAATCATTATCAGTCCGTGCCGTCGTTAAAAATTGTAAAAATCAAGTCTTATATGAAAGTGGTGGTGCAGTTAATATTCATACAGGTCTTAACTTAAATGTTGATTTATCAGTCGTCTTAACTGATCGTAGTATGTATTTTATTTTCTTAAATTGACTTATTTATTTATTTAAAAATTTCTTTTAGAAAAACTTACTGAACTTAGTGTTAGTTCTTACAAAGGTGCTCCATTAGCCATCGGTTCATGGCAATTATCAGTTACTGGTGTTGTTAGTGATACCAAAACAGTTGAATTAAACAAACGAATTACCAACTAAAACAAAAATAATCCTTTTTATATAATTTTTTAAAAATTATTTTCCTCTCAGTAATATCAATATACCTTTCTTGTATAAACGATAGTGATTTTTTTTCTACTCATTTAACATCACTTAATAATTTATATTTTTTTTAAAATTTAACATCAAAATAAACGATTTATTTATAATATAGTATAACAATATAAATTATTCTTTTTACTATTTTCATTGAATTATTTAAGTTTTATTATTCGCTATTTGATTTCTATAATAAGTATCTTACAAACATTATTATAGTTTTTGATTTATTGGATAAAATTCATTCTATCTAGTATTATTATTAATTGTTCATAGATGTGATAAACCTTTACAATTTTTATCACAACAAATATTCGTTTGTTAGAGTGACAAGTAATGAAAATTTTACTACTATTCTTTTATTGTCTATATAATAAATATGTTGATTTGTGATAAGTTAAAATTTATTCCGAGCTGAAAAGCACTTAGGCTATTACTAAACTGTCCCAAATGGGAATCTTTAATGAAGATTTTCTATCCATTTAGTTATATAAGAAAAAATTGTTTTTCTCAAATCAACTTAATGATAACATGCTATGCTTATCTTTAGAGATTTTCATTATTACACATATATTAATATTTTAATCACAATTCTTTTGAATTGAATTTTATTGTAGAAATAAATTAAATTCATGGATTATTTTGCTTTATCAATATCAGAATTAATATTCAATCAAGGTCAAAATACGTAAGTCGTAGAATTTTCTTTCTGATACGAATACAAAATAACAAATTTAAATAAGAGAAAGGATTATTGAATAATAAAGATTATGTACTAGAATGATCAGACTTATCATTTATCTGATATTAATGAATTTTACTAATCATCTTCTTCTTGTTTTTAATAATAAATAAATGTTTTTTTTAATCGAATTGTATTTATTTAGTTAAATTTATACATTCATTTATGTTCTTGTCAATGGAATAGACTAATTTTAGACAATATATTTGATAGATTTAACCATCTGCTGGAGTATTCGTGACACGCAATCTAGACTTATATAAAGGAGAACAAGTTAGGTTTGATTCGAGAATGAATAGTAATATTGTCTAGATTGATTATAAACCAATCCATTTAATAGATATATACTTCCACACGAAAGGAAATGAGACAAAAAAAAAAGAAGGATTGCATTATAAAAAGGGAAAGGAAAAGAGAACAAAACAACAACAAACTCAGAGTCTGGATCCTCCCTATTAATACTCTATCTACCATTATTATAAGTGACTAAAACTTTATGAATATTAACATCATCTAAATAAATACATATAATTTAATCAATAGAAATTTTATTTTTTTTTTAGATTTTGTAAATAATGCAAATACTTTATCGTATTATAGTATTAATTCTTTTCTCTCTTGTCTATGTTATTGGTCTTGTTGGAAATGGTCTTTTAATATGTATGTATAAATTTTTTTAATTAAATAAAAATAATTAATTAATTCTAATTTAGTTATTGTATTTCGTCAAAAAAATTTACGTACAGTACCAAATCTACTTGTTGTTAGTTTAGCACTTGGTGATTTTTTATTCGTTCTTTTTTGTGTACCATTTGGTGCCGTTGCATATTCTCTTGAGTATTATCCATTTTCAACATTTTATTGTCGTTTTGAGAATTTCATAATCAATCTATCACTCGGTGTATCTGTGTTTTCATTATTAGCTCTTAGTGCTGATCGTTATAAAATCATAGCTAAACCATTATCAAGTCATGCCAATGATCCATCAAATAAATTAAAAATTGTTGTCCTATTTATCTGGTTATTCTCAGCTTGTCTTGCTATACCTGAAACAATCTATAGTGGTACGATTTATTTTCAAAAATATATTGTTTTCTTTAAATAATAAATTTATTTTTCTCTAGGTATTATAACAGAAATTTTAGCACAACCGGATAATTCAACAGTTACATTGATTTATTGTTGGAGTCCAAATGAACATACATTACTTGTTAATCATACATTTATGATTATTCGTCAAATTTTACGTTTAATTATCTATTATTTATTGCCATTTATATTTATTTCAATATTTTATAGTATTATTGCTAAAACTTTATTTCAAACAAGAAATCTTATTTATTTACCAAAGTCTTCTTCACGTTCAGTTAAAAATGATTTCAATAATAATAATAATAATCGTTCAATAGGTATTGAATTAAATACAATGAATCGAAAAATGAATTCAAATAATCATACAGCATTAAAACAAGATTTACGAACAAAAAAACAATTACAAGCAAGACAAAAAGTTGCTAAAACTGTTCTTTTTTTATGTCTTGTATTTTTTATATGTTGGTTACCAAAACAGTTACATGATTTATATTGGTATATATATATATGTTTAATTTTTAAATATAAACTTTTTTTTCTCATTATAGGTTTATTGGTGTACTTGTTTATTCATCTGATTGGAATCTTTTTTGGCAAATTAATAAAACTATTGGTTTAATATTAACTTATATTTATTCATGTATTAATCCATTTGCACTTTATTTTCTTTCGTCAACATTCCGTCATTTTTATAAACGTCATTTATGTTTTTGGTCAAATACGACATGTCATTCAAGTCGAAAATTAATTAAATTTAAAAACCGACATCCATCTCGACAAATATCAATAACAACAAATTATCAACGTCGTTCATCTTTAAATAATTCAAGTACATTTTATGATGATTTAAATCGAATAAAAACTTCGAAATATTATCAACAACAAAGTCCTTGATTACTCAAAATATAAAACATCTGTTTTTAATCATAAAAAGATTTTTTTTGTGTATTTGTTTTATTCTATTTCAATATGTAAAATATTAATCAACAAATTCGCATTGTTACCAGGTTCTAATAATCTACAACATAAGCTTAGAGATCGTTCTATTTACATTAACATCAATAAATAAATATATACATATATTTCATAGAATCGTTGAATATGTACAAATCGAGTCCTTGTATATAATTATAGAAAATATTATATATGATGAATAAAATTTGTAATAGAATTTATAAGTCACTGAGTAAAACTTTTTATTAAAATTATTAAGTTTCATAATAACATTTATATTTGCGTGAGAGTGAAAGTTCTTGAGCATGATGAGTCTGTCTCTTTTCCGAAGAAGAAAAGGAAATATCATTGTTGATGGACACAAATTATATTGAAAATGATGATGATGATGATATAATTAATATTAGTGTTAAATGGATAGATAATTGCAATATTGAAATAATAATTTATCGTTGATAATCTATTGTGAGATTATATAAGAAGAAAAATCATCTAATTGTATAACATCATTTGGTATTTTATATAACTGAAAAAATAAATCGACGATTTCTGTCTGCAAGTACTATGAAAACATTTATCTATATTTGATATCATATTTTCGAATCGAATGATGATATTTTGACAGAATTGATTTATGTAAAACAAAATAGTAGAAAATGCTGAATAACAAATAACCATTAGTTTTCTCATGGAAAACAAACGACCTTTTCTTTTTAGTTATTCTATTGTTTTTATGCAATTCATAATGGAAGCACGACGATGCTGTTTGTTTTGTATGATGAATGGAGATTCTAGGGTGTGCGTGTGAGCGTGGGTGTAAATTTTTAAAAATTCCCGCGATCACATTCACACCCACCGTCAAGGTATATATTTTATGATGGTGCACTGTTTGTAAATAAAAGAGACTTTATTAACTTTCAAACACTAAAATCCATATAACACAATATCTAATGAACTGGTTATATTCAAAAATGAAGAGAAAAAGAAGAAAAAAAAACTACTTCGTCGTATATATGTAAAAAATCTTTTTCATAACTTTAATGTTGAAAATGACAATATGAAAGGCCTCGAAAGCTTCACTATATTATATTTATTAAGAATAAAGTGGTTGATGAACTTGTTCGTCTTGTTATTTTCTTATTTAATTATATTTCCTCTTCATATGCAGACTAAATTTGCTGTAGTATCGTTTTAATATCTTATTCTACTAGTAGGGGTAGGACAGTTCCATATTAGTTCCGTTCTTAGGAACTGTACTAACAGTTCTTTTGAAAAGAACTGAACTGTACTAACAGTTCTTTGAATAGAACTAAACTGGTAGTTCTTTTGACCAGTTCATCCGAACTTGGAACTATGAACTGTCCTACCCCTATCTATTAGCCATAAATTTATCTATCGTCCATTGAGAGTATAGGAAAAAATGATATCATTGTTTTTTATTGACGAAATCGGTCAAATAGAACACATGTTTATGTCTATATAAATATCGATACTTATAGATGAAAAAGAATAGGCAACTGAAAATGAACATGGAATATTCATCTCTTCAATTAAATGATTTACCTGATGAAATTCTTATGATTATTTTTAAGAAACTGGACAATATTACATTACTTTATTCTTTAATAGGTGACAATATACGTTTAAACAGAATAGTATGTGATTCGATTTTCACGAATCGTTTGACTTTGGTAAATTTCGTACCACAGCATTTGATTACGGCAAGACCTTTATTAATGTATTTGCCTAATCCATTATCTGATCCGATGCTTGATCGTTTTTGTTTACAAATCTTACCTAAAATTCATGAAAAAGTCAAACGGCTTGATCTTGAACTGTTATCAATGGAACGTATTCTTCGTTGTACGAATTATCCTAATTTATCTCAAATTACTTTGTATAATATTGAAATAGAAAGAGCTTTACAACTTTTTTCTGGTAAGATATTTAATTTTGATTCTTTCGCTATACATTAAAGCTATATAAATAAAATATTTTCAATGATCTTTTAATCTTTTCGTTCTTTAGACGAATCTCTTTTCATTTCCACCTACAAAAATCAAATTTCATTATTTGTTATCGATATTCGATCAAATGGAGAACGAGATACAATAACAGATGAAAATCCACTTTTATTTACTTACATCTTTAATACGTTCACGAATTTACAAATATTAGATATTGGTCCATATTCAATTTGGTATCAATATTTATCCTTCGATATCTCACCTCCAAATGCTATATCTTCGACTCTATTAGAATTACACGTTAATCTGAATAACTTTAGCGATTGTCTTTATTTGCTTGATGGACGTTTCAAGCAACTTTGTATATTTCATGCTGATATTGAAAGAATTACTTCGAATTTAGTTAACAATAATAAGGTAGCTTATTTTGCTTAATTTCCAGTTTATTCAAATAAATTATACTTATGTTCATTTTCAGGAAAAACTACCTAATTTAAGATCGTTTAAACTGTATTGCGACTCGCAAACAAAGTGTTATGATGAGTTAATTTTACCACTTTTACATCGAATGTCGAATCTAGAAAAACTTGATTTGTCTCTTGATGTTTCGACAACAAAAACATTTGTTGATGGTAATAATTTGAAGTTAAATATTATCAATCATATGTCATTATTAAACGAATTTAAATTTAATATTTGTTCATCAACTCGTTTTTATAATCAATTTAATTTACCATCTAATGAATTTGTTCAACAAATGTTCAAAGATTTTCAAAATAAACAAATTATTTCTTCTGTTGATTACTTCAATGAAAGAGGGTATAGTCGATGCCATATATATTCATATCCATATGAATTGAGATATTACGAACATATAGCTAATAGTTTTCCAGGTGGAATATTTAAGCGGGTTCGTACAATATCATTATTTGATGAACGTCCTTTTGAACATGAATTTTTTTTTCAAATCGCTCAATCATTTCCATGCTTGGAAAAATTAACTGTAATTAATAAAAAACGACAAAATAATAAACAATTTGGAAAATCAAAAAATCAAAATCAAGATTCAGCAATCATTGAATATTCTTATCTGGTACAACTTGACCTTTCTGAAGCTCATAAAGATTATCACGAACAATTTTTGTTTGATACCAAAACATGCTTACCAAATAATGTTCGTGTTGAAATGGATTATCGACTAGTGAAAAAAGTGACACGCAATTTTAGAAGAAATACAACACGAAGTAATTGTGCGAAAATAAGTTTGATATGTTTTTATAAGAAATCAACATTTCCTGAACATTTAAAGGACTATTTTCCTTATGCGAAAATAATCTGAATATTGTCAATTATTATTAAAATAAAACATTAGTGAGAAATAAATTGGTTGACATACAATTATAATATAAGAGTGGAGGGATACACGTGATGAAGGATCATAATAGTTTGTAGGGGCGAGGAAAGTTTGAAACTCAGGTGAGCCACAAATCTTAAAAACTTAAACATTTCGTCAGCAATTACCATAAATCGAGTAGAGCTAAATCTAATAGTGCTTTATTCAGATGCAGTCCAAGCATTTCCAGTCTTCACGATCCGCCACCTATGGTAAAAACTATGCATGTTTGTTTTCATATTTCATTAACAAAAGGCTTCAAGTTATTTTCAATATAATACTTGTGATCTACAGTCTTGCCTTTATCTACACTTAGAATTATTTGATTTGAAAAATATACTAAACAAAGCTTTGGTTAAAATTTATCTTCATACACAACAGTCTTTGGAAAATCATCTTCAATAAGCCAGTTAGCATTAGATGACTTACGACTAACCTATCTAAAATTAATCAATATCACATTACTAGTAATCCTAGAATGCAACTGACATTCGAGAACAAAACTTCATTAAATTTTTAAAACAAATGAAATATAATTAGCTCATTTGATATCCAAGGTAGCTAGAGTTGTTTTTAGAAAAACAGGTCAACAAAACTTATAATAAATTGTGTCGAAAGGATTGGCCTTGATATAAATAATCATGACAACGATCCTCATCATTTGATAAAATAATATTTAGAATGTCTCTTCTTTTTATATTTTTATTCAATGTTGCCAGAACTTTTCGTCAGATCTAACTACTTGATAGACATTTCAATCAATTTCATACGTTCTATGTTAATATTAAATCATCAATTGACCATTCACTGTCAAAAAAAATACTAAAGTATGTTTTTATAAATTGGGTGTGGGTGTGGGTGTGGGTGTGGGTGTGGGTGAGGGTGTTGGTGTGTGTGTAGATTTTTAAAAATACCCGCAATCACATTCACATCCACGCCCATACTCATACCCACACTCACCCACACCCTGTCCTACATTTTTTTCTAACACAGATATTATCTGTGTTAGAAAATATAGAAGAGAAATGTAGAGTAATTTTCTTTTTTATTTTGTATAAATAACTTTGTTATCACACACCCTCATCATTAGTTTGATTCTATTCGAAATAAAGTTATTTGACATGTCTGAAGTAAATCAAGACAACAACAACACACAATCATCATCGACTGATCCAAATAATAAGTGCACTGATTCATCTCCACACCCTCAAGATAATAAAATATTTGTTGGTAGACTAATCCACAATATAGATGAATAAAACTCCACAAATATTTTGAAAAATTTGGCTCAATTGGTCATCTACAGATAATGAAAGATAAATACGGTTAGTTGAATGATGAATAAATTTTTAATAAAAGTAATCTTTTACATATCTTTTAATTGATGAGAAATTTCTATCATGTTTCGAATTAATAACATGAGTATTATTAATTGAATGAATGTCAACATATTATAAATCAAATGTAAAAAATTGTTTTTTATTTTATATAAACTAAGCGGAAAGAGGTGGATTTGAGATTTTCGGATTTTTCATGGATTAGTAATACCGAAAAGTCGCTTTCTCCCTTTTGATTTAAACAAAATTTATTTTGCATACATATCTCAATCACAAAATGTTTATTAATCAAACATCTCCAGATGATATTATTTATAAAAATTTACTTTGTTTTCTTTAGATAAAAAAAAATGTCAAATCCATTAGCAACGTGCCAGCATAAAGATCTTTGGAATACAGTTCATAATAATACTTTTGAATACGACTATCAAATTTATGCAACAACATTCAATTATGTTATGAAGCAGAATAACTATCAACTTGTAGCTAGTAGTGAAAACTCAGCAAAATTTCGGGTGAATGGGGAAGCAGTTGTTGTGACTTATGCAGAATGTGCTGATAGTTTTACAGCAGAACTGAATTTGAACAGGCAGAATGAAGTAGTTATTATTAATAAAAATGACTATTTGAACAAAAACAAGTAAATTCAGTAGAAATTAAATTGAGAAAATTTATTAATTTGTTTTAGACAAATAGCGCATTTAAACGCATTAGTAAGTTTTTTAAATGGCAAAATCCGCAACTTTACAGTTTGATTCTTCTTCATTTTTTTTTATAGTTAATAAAGTATTGAAACTCATTTTGTCACAACATTATCATTTTTTAAGAACGTTTTTATTGATTCTTTATGATTTAATTTGATAAAAATTCTCATTCAATCTTCATCCTTCTCTCTTTAGTTGAAAAGAAATACTAATTATGTATTTAGAAGTTTTACATGTACATCAAATGTCTAATTCAAAACAACTTGTTTTGTATTTTGAAGTTTCTTGCGACGCAACATTTGTTGATCAGAACAATTTGAAACTAAATATTATCAATC